GCCCGACGGGCGGCAGCGTCGAGCACCGGCAGCGAGCGGCGGCGGCGAGCGGCGAGCGGCGGAGGCGAGCGGCGGCCTCGGCGGCGGCGCAGAGTGCGAGGCAGGACGGCCCGGGGAGCCGATCTCGCAGGACCCCAGAGGGAGCAAAGGACATGGGCATGCCTGGGCCGGGGGGGGGGCGGATCTACTTCCACGTGCGCGGCTCGCCGAGGACCAGGACGATCGCTTCCCCAGGCGATGGACGTGTGGAAATCCCCTGGCATCAGACGAACCATTTGTTCTTGAATGCGCGGCGCCAGAGATCCCGACGCCTCGCCCGGGTGTCTTCTTCCTTCCCGGATCCGTGTTTGATGGCCCCAGGGCTCGGTGACGGGACGGGACCTCGGAGGCCGAAATCGAGGAAAGACGCCTGGATCGAAAAACAATATCGTCGGAAAGCTGGGCCCCTCACTCGGAGAGAGCGACGGCGACGGCGACGGCGACGCGGGCGGCGACGGCGACGGCGACGCGGGCGGCGACGGCGACGGCGAGGGCGACGGCGAGGGCGGCGACGGCGCCGCGCCGGATAGGGGCGGCGGTGCACGCCCGAGAGCGGTAGCTCCCCAGAAGAGGAAGCGCCCGAGAGGCCCCCCGGGAAGGTCAACCACGCGCAGACGGGGGTGAGGGGAGGGGGGAGGGCTTCTTAGAAGCACCCCTGCTTCTTAGAAGCCGCCCCCCCTCTAAGAAGCCCTCACCCCTTCCTCCACCCCTTTTGTGCGCGCCGCCAAGAAGGGCCCCAAGGCGCCCTGGAATTTTAGCTGGCGCCAGTGATGAGCCACTCGCGCCTGAGGCCACAGGTCTTTGGCCGACGGCCGAGCGGCCGAGCGGCCGAGGGGCAGGGCGCAGGGCAGCCCTGCGCTGCCACGCCCGGCCCCGACGGCATCGACCTGAGGAGCTGGAGCGACGGGAGCGCTTGCTCCGGGAGCATGGGCTCACGGCAATCTACCCAGACCCCCGACGTCATGATTTGTTCATGACGTCGACCCCCAGAGGTCTCGGCCCTTTCCCCGGGACCGGTTTCCCATCCTGGAGGAGGAGGGCGAGGAGGAGAAGAAGGAGGAGGAGGAGGAGGGCACGAAGCTCGGCGAGCAGGTGCGTGCGATGCCACTCTAGGCCGTATAAGGAGAAGGAGGAGGAGGAGGAGGAGGAGGAGGAGGAGGAGGAGGAGGAGGAGGAGAGAGGAGAGAGGAGAGAGGAGGAGGATGGGGAAGCAGCTGCGCCAGCCAGCATGACGCTTCCCTCGCCCCCCATGCTCCATTCCACTCCCGCCTCTTCCCCTCTTCCTGCCTCGCCCTTCCCGTTTTTGCCCCTCCTCCCCCCTCCACTCCCCCGCTCTCAGGCCGAGGGTCGGGGGGCGCCATCGAGCTTTTTCAGGGCGCTGTGTGTCTGGGTCTGGGCAAGTATCCAGCACATGGACAACACAGCTCGGCGGTGCAGCATTCTGTCGATCGCCTGGGACATTCCCACAGATCCCTCTACCGCGCCACCGCTATTCAAAGATCGGGTGGAAGGGAGGGAGGATGACTGTAGAAGCATGCGCGCGAACACCATCCCAAAGTCATACAAGATTTTGTCGGCGTGTGGTGCAGCCGTCCCCTCCGACGTAGCATTCTTTTGTGGCGTCGGCCCCTGGGGACCACGAGCCCTTCCCCGTGGGGCCTGCTTGTCTTCCCGAGTCGCTTACTGACGGTCCCCAGACCAGGAAACGGTCCCCGCAGGTCGAAAGCGAAGAACCATCGGACGTCGCGATGTTCTGGCATCGCTGGGAACTGGAATTCGGGTCATGACTCGGGTCTCTGGCGGCCGCTCCGGACGACTCGGGCACCCCCGGAACGCTCGCGGCGAGGCGCGGCTGCTGGAGATGGTGGCAAGGCTGGAAAACCGCTGAGAGCCGACGACAACCCTGACCGCTCACGCCTCGCTCTGGGGGCGTCCGCGCGCGTTCCGGCGCCGATCGGGTCGAGGACCGAGGATCCCTGAGCTCTGGGGGTTGCACTGTAGTTCCACGCTGGGCGACTTCGCCCTGCTTCAAGCCCCGGGGCCCTCACAGGTCGATCCTACTCGAAAGGTGCCGCAGAAAGATAGGGGTCGAGGGCTCCAGCCGTGCCTTCTGCGCTGCTGCACCTCTTTCGCAGCGCCGTACCTCTGGCGTCGAGGATCGAGGATCGAGGGGGAGGTCCACAAGGGGCCGGGGCCATGGCTCCCGCGCCTCGCTCTCCTCCTCGTGCTCCTCAGGCGCCGGCTCTGGCCGCGGGCCCCCCTCAGGCGGCTCGGCACCGAGCGGCTCCGCGCCGGGCGGCGGCGCGCCGGGCGCCGCCTCGGTGCGTGGCGCGAGGGGCGAGGAGGCCCAGACCCCTCTCGGAGGATCGAGGATCGAGGATCGAGCTTCGGCTCGGGGCTTCAGGGCTCGAGGCCTCCTCCTCCTCCTCCTCCTCCTCCTCCTCCTCCTCCTCCTCCCTTCCTCCTCTTCCTCCTCCTCCTCCTCCTCCTCCTCTCCTCATCCTCCTCCTCCTCCCTCCTCCTCCTCCTCCTCCTCCTCCTCCTCCTCCTCCTCCTCCTCCTCCTCCTCCTCCTCCTCCTCCTCCTCCTCCTCCTCCTCCTCCTCCTCCTCCTCCTCCTCCTCCTCCTCCTCCTCCTCCTCCTCGTACGCCTCCTCAATCCTCCTCATCATCCTCCTCCTCCTCCTCCTCTCCGCCTCATCTCTCCTCCTCCTCCTCCTCCTCCTCCTCCTCCACCTCCTCCTCCATGCCTTCTTCTTACACCTAAATCCTCCCTGTCGCGCCCCGAGGCTAATTTTTAGGGCGGGCCGAGCGTGTCGCGTGAGACCTTCACAGCAGTTATGACCCTGAAGCTTACGAGTTGGCAACAGCTTCACAAATGGAGGGCGGGCCGGTTTCAAAGTATGGCCCTCGCCTTACCGCCGCGCACTGTTGTTTTTAAAACTGAATGCGGGCTGGTTTTCAAAATGTGGTTATCTCCTTAGCGCCGCGCAAATGTGCTTATAACAAGTGCAAGGGCTTCACGGATCGGGGCGGCTCCTTTTTCAACGTGTGGCTCTCGCCTCAGCGCCGCGCACATGTGTTTAAAACATGCAAAAACTTCGCTGATGGAAGGCGGCTCCTTTTCAAATTGTGGCTCTCGCTTTAGCGCCGCGCACACTCGTATTGCTTTCCTTCTTTGACGACTTGCAAGAGTTTCACGGGTTCCCATGGTCAACGTACCAGAAACGGTGTCTGGGATAAATGTACGATTATGAGGGTGCATTGGTTACATTGATTCGCGGTGCTGAAGTCCCAGGAAAGGCGTTCTGGCACGACTCAGGATCGTCAAGACGCAACCGTCAGGTTGATCTGTGGCGTTGGAATTCCAAGAAGAATGGTATGCTTCAGGATATTCAAACGGTTGTCTTCCAACGAGGCAGTTAGTTCCCTCGGCGGAAATGAACTGCTGTGGGGGCCTATGAAGGGGGAGCTTGGAGGGAGGGCGTACTGCAACATCGTTGATGACTTTCGGGTTTACACTGGTCCTCCTCCTCCTCCTCCTCCTCCTCCTCCTCCTCCTCCTCCCCCTTCTCCTCCCCCTCCTCCTCGGCGCAACCTGGGGGCGGGCAGAGTCTGTCCACCTCCAGCAGTGAAAGCAGGGCCGAAGGCGCACCTTGCAACCGCCTTCGGCCCCACTGGGCGGACACGGCTCCCTCGACCAGGCGAAGGCCCACGGGCGTAGAAAACCTAGACACCCGCCGTGGCCGCCAGGACAGGGAGCCTGATCAAGGATTGAACCCGATAGACTTTGCCACTGAGTCTGAATTCGCTTTTCGCAAGCCTCTTCAACGTCTTGCGAGCGTGGTCAGTGACCTCGGGTGGGCACGGGCTCGCTAGACCAGAAAGCCTCGTCACTGCAAAGCACGCGCAACGCGCGCAGCCGACCACAAGTGGTCCACCTGAAAGCTGGAACTTAGCAAGGGCATGCACCTTACCCGAGCAGCTCGCCTGCGCGGCAAGAGCACGACTGACCAGATCGGCGGCCACGGGATCCTTGACGAGAACCAAGCGGGGCACAGGGGGCAAACCACGAGCATGCTTCTTGGGGTGTCCGCCGTCCTCGAGCCCCTCTGAAAGAAACGCAATCCAGGAGCCCCAGACATGCAAGACTTTGCATCGGGCCTGTAGCTGTGCAGCGGCCGCCTCTGGGACCCTGGCAAAGGAAGCAACGCTCTTGGCAGCCTCGTCTGCCTTGGCACTGCCGTACCGGTGACGCGCAGAGGTTCCACGCCCTGCCTGCACATCAACCTGGGTCGCATGACCCTTTATTTTGCTGATCTCAATCCCCCCGCCCCAGTCATCCACCAGCCTCCAGAACTCCTTCCAGAGATGAGCGCGCGCAGAGACACAGGCACGGGTAGCCTCTGGGCCACGCACATGGAAACCGTCAGCCACAAAGGCAGAATCTGTATAAATACGCACTGGCGGAGTCGCGAAACGCAGAACATTGATGACAGCAACAAGCTCGGCAGCACTGATGCACTGCAGTGGGTCCAAGAGCGGTCCTGAACAAAACGAGACAATTTCCAGACGGTCCTGATGCAATGCAACGCACCCCCAGCCCGCACTGGCCAGACTGGGATACTGAGCCTCGAAAACAGAACCGTCAGTGTAAATATCTCCCGTGAACTCCGAGGGCCCTCCAAGCCCCCAACAAATCGGAGACCCAGGAGGACGGCGGCTCAGAGAAGGGAATGGCACAAGACAGCGCTCGGCGAAGAGCGACGCCAGCACTGAAGTAGCGGCAGCAGCCTCTCCTGCAGCTAAAAAGTTGGGCTTGCCCTCGAGGCTGTCTAAGCGAGAGCAAGAGCAGTGCCTATGCAGCAGAGTCCCCTCCTGCGTGGGGCAGAGCAGACAAGAGGGAGTCGTGTCGTAACCCGCGGCCTACTGCCTCTTCTGTGGCCACTGCCCACCGATGACCGTGCTGCGGAGGTGGCCCTGCTGCTGGGCCGACAACTTACTCTTGCTGCCAAGGAGGGCCTTCAGGGGTCCCAAGATCAGCCCGTTGGCGAAGTCGTCAACCTCGAGATGTTCCGCGACCTTACAATACTGCCACGCCTCCACAGCACGAAACACGAGCTCCTGAACAGTGACGGGGAAGTAGCTCATCGGGTTGACGTCGGCCCCATCAGGCCAGATCCAGGACGTGGACGAAGTAGCAACGATACCCATACGCCTGAGCGAGGCCCACAGGGCGCAAAAGGGGCCCCTAATGGAGGACCGCGGGTGCTCCAGCCTAGAAAGGTGCCTGTGGGCCTCACGAAGCCCGAAATCCAGAGCCTCATGGGGCAGCCAACGATGCTAGAGCGCATGGAGGTAGAACTTGACGGGCAACCAAGTGGCTCTAAAGATGGGGTCCAATCGGGGGACAGGGGAGAGAAGAAGGCTCAAGGTCCGAGACTTGCCATCCTGACGGTGGTCCTGCAGCTTGCCAGCCGCACCTCGAAGAACCTCCAACTCCTGCCCATTGGTACCCATAACGGACGCTCCGAAAAGGACCGAAGACTCAAGAGCGGCTCGAGCCATGCGCCGGAGCACGCGGCGACGAGGCTTGGTGCCCTTGAGGAAACCCATTCGGACCAACCTAGGCCTCATACAAGCGACACGCCCACGGACCGTGCCTCGACTAGCAACCTTGCCCGAACCGTAGTCCACGCCGATATTACGCTCAGACCTGACGGGCAGGGGTTGAAGGCTCTTCAACTTGGCTGCAATGGAAGCGCGAACCGTAGGGAAATTGCTCAAAACGCGAGACTTGTCGAGAGCGAACTTTAAGTCGACCTGGCGCAGCTGCTGCAGCAGGTGCTGGCCTGCGGCGGTGATGTCACCGACAACGCGGGACTCGGTGCCCCAGCGCATGAGGCCAAAATCGTCAACGTTGACGGACAGCTGCGCAGCAGGGCAGGCGGCCTGCACGGCGTCCAAAGGGCCTAAGAGAATCAACTGCAGCATACAAGTGGCAAAAGTACATCCAGGCACAATCGTTTGCTCAACACAAAGCAAAGACCCAACAGCACCCCCAACATCGAGAATGCGCCTCCTCCTCCTCCTCCTCCTCCTCCTCCTCCTCCTCCTCCTCCTCCTCCTCCTCCTCCTCCTCCTCCTCCTCCTCCTCCTCGTCCCAATCATCCTCCTCCCCTCGTGAACAAAGCACGACGGAAGGTTTGATGTGACTTTCGGTCTCTGGGGGTCCTCGCTGGGCCCAGGGGCCGTCCAAGAAAGGCTCAAGATGAGGAGCCGCTCCCGGGCCGTGGGTCGAGACCTCTGGAGGTCCATGCTGTGGCAAAATCATGACTTCGGGGGGCTGAGCTGAAGCAGGCCCTGACCCAGACATGCTCGCGTGGTAAGCATCGGCGGCGAACCCAAGAAGGGAGTAAGACGAGGCATGCCCTCTCAGAAAGCGACGGGACTCCTCAGAAACCCTCGGGCCTTCTGAGAAGCTTGCTGTGTCTCCAGGAAGGGCTTAGAGAACATCTCCTTGACGAAGAAAAAAAATAAACATAATCATTTGAGCTCGGCGCGGATTTCTTGGATCTGCGCTGGACTCCCCTCCCCTGCGCGCGGAACGCGCCAGGGGCGGCGCTGGAGGCGCCGCCTGGGGGCCCCAGGCGCCGATCCAAGAAATCCGCGCGGAGCGCCCAAAGTTTATGTTTATAGCGTTTATTCGTCTTCGATCCTCCCCTCTCCAACGCAGCCCAGGACAGACATGTCTCAAGAAGGAAGGGCCGCTGGCCTCTGAAGAATTTATGATGTTATTTCTTCTTCGAGAGACCTCCCTCCTGGGTTCCCCGCCGCGAGAAAGAGCACGACGGCAAGTGTTGGGCAACATCTTCTCGGCCTCCGAGAGGGCCCTCGCCAGGCCCTGGCACCTTCGAGAAGGAAACAGACTGGAGACGAAGACGAGAACCGGCCACAGGGAAAGGCTTCCCGGGGGCCCCGCACACGGGGAAAGGGTCGGGACTTCTGGGGGCCCCGTGCATGAGAAAAAGTCAGCCCGACGAAGGACCCAACAATAAGCAATGATGGACACCGCGTTCTGGGTCCAGCGTCCGACGGGCCTCCCTATGGGGCCACGAACCGTGTGATGGGTGTGCCAGAATGGGCGGGGAACCACCCTGCCACTGGCGCCCTTCGGTGGAGCTCCCTATGGAGCCGCGAAGCGTGTGAAGGGTGTACCGAAATGGGCGGGGAACCGCATACGGACCCTGCCACTGGCGCCCTCTGTGGAGCTTCCTACGGGGCCACGATCCTCGTGAGGGGTGCGCCGAAATGGGCGGGGCCGCCATGCGAACCTTGCCATTGGGGCCTTCGGTGGAGCTCCCCACGGGGCCACGATCCTTGGAGAGAGAGAGAGAGAGAGAGAGAGAGAGAGAGCGAGCCGTGCACGTCCAGGGTGCATTGGCAGTAGTGGCACTCGGGCTCATACCGGTGCTCAGAAGCAGAGGCGCCTGGCAGCTGCGCGCCACGCGTGTGCGGAACCTTGCCACAAGTCTTGCTGAGGTGCTGGTCCACCTGCTGCCTCCATGTATTTCTGGGCCGGCCGCGCTTGCGGGGGCCACGCGGGCGGGCTAGGTCAAAACCCCCGGGCGTGAAAACGCAGCGCCTCAGTGCACTGCCGTCCGGTTGCCGGGCAACGTCTCCCATCAGGACCAGTTGTCTGTACGCCAGCAGAAAGCTCAACTTTTTGCACCCGCATGTGCCAAGCACGGTCTCGTTGGTGATGTGGCTCACGTACGAATGCCCTATGCCTGCAATTTTTCGCAGGCACCGTGCTTGGAATGCGTTCAACTTGTTGTTCTCGGCCTTGTTGAGCCACACGGTGTGCAAACAGTACATCAGCATTGCTCACGATCCTTGGGTGTGCCGAAATGGCCCGGGGCCGCCATGCGAACCCTGCCGCTGGCGCCTTCGGTGGAGCTCCCCATGGGGCCACGATCCTCGTGAGGGGTGTGCCGAAATGGCCCGAGGCCGCCATGCGAACCCTGCCACTGGCGCTTTCGGTGGAGCTGCCATGGGGCCACGGTCCTCGTGAAGGGTGTGCCGAAATGGCCCGAGGCCGCCATGCGAACCTTGCCATTGGGGCCTTCGGTGGAGCTCCCTATGGGGCCACGACCCTGCCTTCGGTGGAGCTCCCTATGGGGCCACGACCCTCGTGAGAGGTGCCCTGAAATGGTGCGGGTCCGCCATGCGAACCCTGCCACTGGCGCCTTCGGTGAAGCTCCCCACGGGGCCACGATCCTCGTGAGGGGTGTGCCGAAATGGCCCGAGGCCGCCATGCGAACCCTGCCACTGGCGCCCTCGGTGGAGCTCCCTATGAGGCCACGAACCGCGTGAGGGGTGCGTCGAAATAGCCCGAGGCCGCCATGCGAAGACTGCCACTGGCGCCCTCGGTGGAGCTCCCTATGAGGCCACGATCCTCGTGAGGAGTGTATGGCCCGAGGCCGCCATGCGAACCCTGCCGCTGGCGCCTTCGGTGGAGCACCCTATGGGGCAACGATCCTCGTGAGGGGTGCGCCGAAATGGAGCGGGTCCGCCATGCGAACCCTGCCATTGGGGCCTTTTGTGGAGCTCCCCACGGGGCCACGATCCTCGTGAGGGGTGTGCCGAAATGGCCCGAGGCCGCCATGCGAACCCTGCCACTGGCGCCTTCGGTGGAGCTCCCTATGGGGCCACGAACCTCGTGAGGGGTGTGCCGAAATGGCCCGAGGCCGCCATGCGAACCCTGCCACTGCGGCCTTCGGTAGAATTCCCTATGACGCCACGGTCCTCGTGAAGGGTGTGCCGAAATGGCCCGAGGCCGCCATGCGAACCCTGCCACTGGGGCCTTCGGTGGAGCTCCCTATGGGGCCACGAACCTCGTGAGGGGTGTGCCGAAATGGCCCGAGGCCGCCATGCGAACCCTGCCACTTGGGCCTTCGGTGAAATTCCCTATGAGGCCACGATCCTCGTGACAGGTGTGCCGCAATGGCCCGAGGCCGCCATGCGAACCCTGCCACTGGCGCCTTCGGTGGAGCTCCTATGGGCCACGATCCTCGTCAGGGGTGTGCCGAAATGGCCCGAGGCCGCCATGCGAACCCTGCCACCGGCGACTTTGGTGGAGCTCCTACGGGGCCACGAACCTCGTGAGGGGCGTGCCGAAATTATCCGAGCCCGCCATGCGAACCCTGCCACTGGGGCCTTCGGTGGAGCTACTATGGTGTCACGATCCTTGTGAGGGCTGTCAGAATTGGCCCGAGGCAGCCATGCGAACCCTGCCACTGGGGCCTTCGGTGGAGCTCCCTATGGGGCCACGATCATCGTGAGGGGTGTGCCGAAATGGCCCGAGGCCGCCATGCGAACCCTGCCCCTGGGGCCTTCGGTGGAGCTCCCTACGGGGTCACGATCCTCGTGAGGTGCGCGCCGAAACGGGGCAGTGCCGCCATGCGAACCCTGCCAGTGGGGCCTTCGGTGGAGCTCCTCTGGGGTCACGAACATCGTGAGGGGTGTGCCGAAAATGCCCGAGGCCGCCATGCGAACCCTGCAACTGGCGCCTTCGGTGGAGCTCCCCATGGGGCCACAATATGCCGCACTGGGTGGGAGAAACGCAGGGAGGGAGGAGGAGAAGGAGGGAAGAGGGGGAGGAGGAAGGAGGAACGCGGAGACCGTCTCTTCAAGGCGAAGACCCAACAACACAGGACGGTTTGGAATTAGCCTGGCGAAGGACCCAACCATATGCAGTTGTGAGTGCCGCACTTGTGAGTACCGTCTTCGGTGGAGCTCCCTGTGGGGCCACAAACCTTTTGAGGGGTGCGCCGACATGAGGGTGGAACTGCATGCGAACGCTGCCACTCGGGCCTACGGTGGAGCCCCCTATGGGGCCACGAACCCTGTGAGGGGTTCGCCGAAATGACGGTGGATCTGCATGCGAACGCTGCCACTGGGGCCTTCGGCGGAGCTCCCCATGGGTCCACGAACCCTGTGAGGGGTGCGCCGAAATGAGGGTGGAACTGCATGCGAACGCTGCCACTGGGGCCTTCGGCGGAGCTCCCTGCGGGGCCACGAACCCTCTGAGGGGTTCGCCGAAATGACGGTGGATCTGCATGCGAACGCTGCCACTGGGGCCTTCGGCGGAGCTCCCCATGGAGCCACGCACCCTGTGAGGGGTGCGCCGAAATGAGGGTGGAACTGCATGCGAAC